GACAGCTTTTCCTTCGCTCCTTCCAGCTGCGTTTTCAATAGTGCCTTTTGCTCCTGTTTTTCCCAGTCTTTCCCCTCCTGCTGAGTTTCCAAACTGACTTTCGACTGCACTTTCTTTTGATCTCTCAACATCTGCAAAGTTTTCAATGTGGTGTGCTTCCGCCACACTCGCTTCTCTTCCTGAAATATTTTCAAGACGGCTTCTCTCCATTCCTGCTCCTCGTTCTCCTACTGGATTTTCGGATCGATCATTCCCAGCTGCGCTTCCTCCTCTTCCTCCTTCTATGATGCTTCCGGGGCGGTTCCTCTCAATTCCTACCCTCTGTTCTCTTACTAAACTTTCAAAACGATTTCTCTCTGCCACAATATCTGTCCCTCCTGGGAAGTTCCCGGAATGGCCTCTTTCTACGATATTACCTGTTTCGCTTTTCATTTCTAATCCTTCTTTTGCGGAGTTTTTGGAAGGATCTTTTTCAGCTAAACTTTCTCCTATTCTTAATGGGAATTTTCCGCTACGTTCTCTTCCTACCAAACTTTCTCCTTCTCTTCTGTTTGCTCCTCTTTCTAATTCTAATGGCTTCCTTGAGTTTTCTTTTCCATCTACAGCTCCGCCTGCTCTTTCTAGGAAATTGCCGGGACGACTTCTGTCATCAGCACCTTTTCCTGTAACTGGGATGTCTTCAATAGTTCCTCTGTCCTCAAGTCCTGTTTTTCCTCTTCTTCCTGATTCTTCACCTTCTCCCTCTATTAAGTTTCCGGAACTGTTTCCAGGCACAGTTTCTTCCGCTCTTGCTGGTAGATTTTCATTATGTCCTCTTTCGATTATGCCCGTGCCTCCTCTTCCTCCTATTCTTATCTCTTCTACTGTGTTCAAGTTACGGCCTCTTTCTACTATGAATCCTTGCCCTCTCGATGGGAAGTTTCCAGAGCGATTTCTTTCCGCCACTTTTCCTGCTTCACCTCCTCCTCTTGTAAAGTTTCTAGAACGGCCTCTTCCCATCACATTTCCTCGTTCACCTGCATTGCCTGAGAAGAATCGGTCACTTCCTCGCAATGTAGGTTGCTCGAATTTACGTCTGAAAGAGAAATGTTAGTACTTTGCACGTGACTGTTGATCAAACCTCATCTTTTATACTTTTGTAATAGTTCTATTTGGTTACGCTTGCGCGGCCTAAAGGAAGCAACATTTGACCTAAATTGAGCCTTAGTATCCAACAGCAGAAACATTTTTT